CATACCTCATAAAAGATAAAATTGTACAAAAATAATAATAGTTTTTTTTTTATTTTTTTTACCATTTTTTTATTTTTTAAGAAAAAAAAAATTTTTTGAATCATAAATAATTTTTAAAATTTTAAAAATATATTTTTATTTTTATTTTTCTCAAATTAGTCTTAGTTTGTTCAAAAAAAAAAAAAAAAAAAAAATCTAAAAATTGTTTTTATTTTTTATTTTTGTTGATCTGCCTGTAGAAATTGTTGAGGCGGTGAAATGTTCCCTCTCAAAATTCCCTCTTTTTTTCCAGGATAGGTAATGAACCCTTCATTACTCTCCCCGATTTTCACTCTTGCACAGCCTTCTCTCACAATTCATTGTTCTCTCCCCTCACTATCACACACCCGCATAGACATTTGTTGATCGTCGGGTTTCCTCTGTTTGCTGCTGCTGTGCGAGACCAGGTGAAGATTCGACTAAAAAAACTTATAGTTCTGTATTTATCTCTTGCTCAAATCGATTCTCTCGTATGTTTTTGGATCTATGTTTTTTTATTATTAATCTAGTTTTCTTCGATCTGTCTTTGATATCCATGTGATTTTGCTATTCGAAATGCAACTGTCGATAAGCTATATGAAGTGATTTAACTACTGATGCGAAATCGAAGTAAGTTTTATAGGTATTTGATTGAATTAGGTTGAGAATAAAATCTATATATCAATGCCCTCATTTTGTATTTTGATCTGATGTACTCTGTAAGAGAACATTTCCTGAAATGTCTCTGTCCCTTGCTTTGTGATCATTTTTAAAGCATTTCTAAATATATTATTTAGTACTTCTTTTGAAAACCAATGATTTTTATATTTTAGTTTAGAAAACAAAAACAGAAACATGCATCTGGGTGTTAACAAAAATTATAGGCAATTTAAAAACAAATAAATAAAGTAAAGAGACAAGAGAGGGGCATTTTTATAAGTAAAATTTCCCTCTGTGATTTGGTTGGTGTAGAATCAGTTTCACCAAAATGAGGGGCAATTCATTCAAATTCACTATAAGCAACGTATAACCCCTTTTGGCTCGTAATTTTCTACCTTATAAGACTAGTTATTTCATTTCACCTTTCTATCAGATGGCCTAATTAATGTAGTCACAGCTTGAATGCTCGTCACTATTATTTCGTGCCATGGGTTATTGCAAAAATGAGAAATCTTCATGGACTTACTTCTCTACAAGGGTGCGAATCTTTGTAGGACAGAAAAATATTTGTTATCACAATCATGTGTTGCCATGCAAGCCAGGTTCATCTGATATTTGTTTTCGTTGTATTTGTTGTTCTTATCATTTTCTTGTTACCATTCTCTGCATATGAAAATTTGCGAAGTACCAACTAACTAAATGTTCGATGATAACTTTGATAATTACAAACTTATTCCCACCCTTCAAAGATTGAAATAATGAGTTACCTTGGCTGAGGTAGGGTGAGTTAGGCCCCATTCAGATATAATCCTTCAATCTTTCCATAATTTTTCTCTCATTCACTATAGTCTTTGTTTCCAAGTCTAATGCACTCATCACAACATATTCATACATGCCGTTTTATCGTTCTAGTTTTTTTTGCTTTGTTTTTTTCTTTTTATTTGATTAGTATGCACTCAGCACAACATGTTCATACATGCAGTTTTATCCTTTTAGTTTTTTTTGCTTTGTTCCCCCCCAAGAGTAGCCTTTTCCAAGGCTGCACATTGTTTTGGCCTCCATTATTGGGCACTCCCTTCCTGTTCCCTTTGCTAACTGACTGTCAATAACCATAAGGTCCATAACAGAAAAAATGTCAATATGTTAATAGTTCATCATAGTGATTTTAGCCTTATTAAAGTCGATGAAAATGAACAATATCTTCCATTCCTTTATGGTCTTACTATAATTCAACAAAAAATATGTTACTGATGCATAAAAGTAATCCCATTGTGCCACATCACCATAGTAAATCTAATGGAGCATCTATCATGACCCAAACAATAGTTGTAGGCCTCCTTGATCTTCTTGGTGAACCCCACCACCACTATTTGCCTGCGTTCGTTGCCATTCCCAAACACCCACTCTCAATGTCTTGATGTCAGTCATGGGGACAAGTCCCCTATCTTCCGATTTGATCTTTGCTGTGTCACTGACAATGAATAACAAATTGATTTTGTATTCATTGCATCACTTTCAAAAGATTGGAACAAACCACTTGTAATTGCAACTTTCTTTGTTGGGGTTTTTAATAAAGATGGTGAGGTGGGTGGTGTGATCGGGAGGCAATGCAAAGGTTGAATTGGGAGGTTTGGACAATGCAGAGGGAGAATCATCATAACAATGATCATGTCATTTCAAAACCCTGCATTGTCACTGTTAACTAACCCATAAAACTTCTAGAATCTTTTTCCTCAATTCTATCCCCATCTCCTTGTTTGTATTCATTCATCACAACCAAACCCAATCATCATGGGTTTTCTACATTCTTTCAACTAGAAGAAGAAACACATAAATCTCATGAAGGTATATTTAGTTGACTTGTGATTGTCAAAAGTATCCTGTTATGGAACATCAATTATATGCGAAAGCTTTAATATGCCTAAGTGACCCATATGACATTATGTTCTTACTTTCTCTTTGTTATGAAGGTAATGCTTCAGTACCACATTGAACGACAATGCTTATTGAAGTGTACCCGTCAGATTATCATGCATACATGGAAGTCCATTATGCAGCTGGTTTAATTCTATTTCACACTTGTGCTCTCTCTCTCTCTCTCTCTCTATATATATATATATAGATATAAATGTATACACGGGACTCCCAGTTTGAAAACTAAGTCAAAAAATATATTTTTCTCACACTTAAGCTTAAAAATAGGCCATCAGGGGTCAAAATCATGTAACAATCACGAGAAGACCAGGGGAACATCTCAAACACCTCGAGAAGGACCAATTTAAGTTGTTGAAAATTACGGAACTAGCACGGGACTCCCGATTTGAAAACTAAGTTGAAAAATGTAATTTTCTCACACTTAAGCTTGAAAATAGGTCATCGGGAGCCAAAATCGTGTAACAGACATGAGAAGGCCCAGGGAATACCTCAAACTCCTCGGAAGTGACCATTATAACTTGTGTAAACTTATGAAACTAGCACGGGACTCCTGATTTGAAAACTAAGTCCAAAAATACACTTTTCTCACACTTAAGTTTGAGAATAGGCCATCGGGAGCTAAAATCGTGTAGCAGTCACGAGAAGGCCCAGGGAACACCTAAAACACCTCAGGAGGGACCAATGTAAGTTGCGGAAACTTACAGAACTAGAACAAGACTCCCGTTTGAAAACTAAGTCAAAAAATGCATTTTTCTCACACTTAAGCTTGGGAATAGGCCAATGGGGGGCCAAAATTGTGTAACAATCACGAGAAGGCCTGGGGAACACCTCAAACACCTCGGAAGGGACCAATGTAAGTTTTAGAAACTTACGGAACTAGCACGAGACTCTCGGTTTGAAAACTAAGTCTAAAAATGTATTTTTTTCACATTTAAGCTTGAAAATTGGCCATCGGGAGCCAAAATCGTGTAACAGTTACGAGAAGGCCTGGGGAACACCTTAAACACCTCGGGAGGGACCAATGTAAGTTGTGGAAATTTACAGAACTAGCACGGGACTCCCGGTTTGAAAACTAAGTCAAAAAATGCACTGTTCTCACACTTAAGCTTGAAAATAGGTCATCGGGGGGCCAAAGTCGTGTAACTGCCATGAGAAGGCCTAGGGAACACCTCAAACACCTCTGAAGCGACCATTCTAACTTATGTAAACTTACGGAATTAGTACGGGACTCTCGATTTGAAAACTAAGTCCAAAAATGCTCTTTTCTCACACTTAAGCTTGAAAATATGCCATCGGGAGCCAAAATCGTGTAACAGTCATGAGAAGGCCCGGGGAACACCTAAAACACTTCGGGAGGGATCAATATAAGGTGCGGAAACTTACAGAATTAGAACGGGACTTTCGGTTTGAAAATTAAGTCGAAAAATACATTTTTCTCACATTTAAGCTTGAAAATAGGCCATCGGGGGCCAAAATCGTGTAATAGTCACGAGAAGGCCTGGGGAACACCTCAAACACCTCGGTAGGGATCAATGTAAGTTGTGAAAACTTACGGAACTAGCACGGGACTCGCGGTTTAAAAACTAAGTCGAAAAATATATTTTTCTCACATTTAAGCTTGAAAATAGGCCATCGATGGCCAAAATCGTATAACAGTCACGAGAAGGCCCGGGGAACACCTCAAACACCTCGAGAGAGACCAATGTAAGTTGTGGATACTTACCGAATTAGCACGGCACTCTCGGTTTGAAAACTAAGTCAAAAAATGTACTTTTCTCACACTTAAGCTTGAAGCCAAAATCGTGTAATAGTCACGAGATGGCTCGGGGAACACCTAAAACACCTCGAGAGGGACCAATGTAAGTTTTGGAAACTTACAGAACTAGCACGGAACTCCCGGTTTGAAAACTAAGTCAAAAAATGCATTTTTCTCACATTTCAGCTTGAAAATAGGCTATATGGGGCTAAAATTGTGTAACAGTCACGAGAAGGCCCGGGGAACACCTCAAACACCTCGAGAGGGACCAATGTAAGTTGTGGAAACTAACAGAACTGTACGGGACTTCCGGTTTGAAAACTAAGTCGAAAAATACATTTTTCTCACACGTAAGCTTGAAATTTGGCCATCGAGAGCCAAAATCGTGTAACAGTCATTAGAAGGCCTAGGGAACACCTCAAACACCTCGGGAGAGACAAATGTAAGTTATAGAATCTTACAGAATTAGCACGGGACTCTTGGTTTGAAAACTTAGTCGAAAAATGTACTTTTCTTACATTTAAGCTTGAAAATAGAACATCGGGGGCGAAAATTGTTTAACAACCACGAGAAGGCCCAGAGAACACCTCAAACACCTCGGAAGCGACCATTCTAACTTGTGTAAACTTACGAAACTAGCACAGGACTCTCGGTTTGAAAACTAAAGTCAAAAAATGCATGTTAAATTGTATATTTAATTGATAAGATAATAATTGTCTAACTTTTATTTATTTATTTTTTTATGTTTTGTTTTGTTGCAGATTCGAGATTAGATATGGACATGTTTGGTAATCTAGAGAGCAGAAACTAGCTCATTTTGTGTTTTTCTTCATTTTACCTTACATGTATTTTGGTTGCATTGTAAATTTTTTTATTTTTGTGGGTATTATAGGACATATTTGGTCATCCGCACTTGATATTATATTTTTGTAGATATTAGTAGACATGTTTTTTGTGGATATTAGGAGACATGTTTGGTAATCTGTATGTGGTTGATATTGTATTTTTGTGGATATTAGTAAACATATTTTTTGTGGATATTAGGAGACATGTTTGGTAATCCGCATGCAGTTTATATTATATTTTTGTGGATATTGTGTTGAAATTCGACTGTCGTGTTTATGAAAATGAATAGATTTTTGTATTGATTTGTAATAGATATTTTTATTGAACAGGTTATTGAAATGCGCAGGGAATTTTTAGTGAAAAGAAAAATTTTAAATTGAAAATATTACCCCTATTTTAAAAAATTTTAATTAGTATTAGCGACGAAAAAAAAATGTCACTATTAGTTTTCAAACAACATGACGAATAATTTTGTCACTAATGATATAGTACTAAACAAATAATTTCATCATATTTGTTGAATATTTCGTCGCTAAATTGAAATATTTGGTGACAAAAATTTTTTTGTCATTGAAGAATTTTCTTTTGTACTCATTTTAGTGACGAGTTTTTTTGTCACCTTAATCTATATCATTAGTGAGGAAAAATTTCGTCACTAAAACCTATTTGGTGATGAAATATTTTGTCGCCAAAACAATTAAAATAAAATATTATTTAATTCTAGGGATGAAATTGATGTTATAGAGGACGAAAAATACAACATTTGGAGATGAAAAATTTTGTCGCCAAAAATGAAAAAATAGGCGACGAAATTATTTTTCGTCACTAGGTACTTTTAGCGACAACGTATAGGCAACAAACATGGTGACAAAACTTTTTCGTCACAAATCACTTTGGTGACGAAAATTTGATGTTTGGAGACAAAATCAGTCTGTCACAAAAGGCTTTTTTTTTTTTTGTAGTGTACAAAAGAAACCCAAAACAGAGAATAAGAGAAAGAGACAGCAGAAAAAGAGCAAAGAGAAAGCACGTACCAAATCGGCGAGCGGAGAAGATGCGGCGGCGATGGGCAAGGCTACTAGTGGCGACGGCGACAAGCAAGGCTAATAGAGGCGACGGCGATGGCGATCGGCGTAGTGGAGGAGTAAGAGGTGAGACAAATGTTGGTTACCAATCTATGAATACAATGAGATGTTTAGAGCTGTTAGGGTTTAATTTGAGGATTTTTTGTTTAGGGGATTGGGGATTTGAGATCGTGAGAAACAAAAAAGGGTAAAGAATAGGGGGAATTCGGATAGAGCGGGAAAACGAAAACAAAAAGAAGAAAAGAAGTGGAGAGTTAGATATGCGGTGTGAACCATGTGGTTTGGTTTCAACAAAATGTTTAAAAAAATTTAAAAACATGTTTGTTCAGGCCTAAAATATTTATCTTTATTTTTTTTTAATTATTTATGACAATGAGATCATACACATTATAATTGAAAAAGAATGATTGGAAAAAAATTAACTAAAAAAAAATTAATTAAAAAAATTTGTTAGTCAAATTTTTAAATTTCTATTTAAAAACCAACGTAAACTCATTTTTTGAGTTTACAATTTGTCCTCAAATTTATAAACTGAGACAACTATTTATAAACCAAAAAAATTACCAAACAAGTTTTTATGATAGTTTTGTAAATTTTTTGTAAATATAAACTGAAAACTGAAAACGAAACAGTTACCAAACAGGCCCTAAACAATGAATCCATGGCTCATTTAGTAATTTTTTCATTTGCAACGGGGGCATTGCTGTCGCCGATAACCTGTATTTGCGACGGGAGAAGGTTGCCATAGCAAAAAAAAAAAAACTTATTTTTTTGCCAAAAACCTTCGTGTCCATTTTGCTACGTAATAAAAGCTATGAAGAGAAAGAAACAGAAAATGAGAGAGAAACAAGAGATGATCAGCGAGAGAAAGAGAAAAAGATATGAACAAGAAAGATATAGAGAGAGAGACAAAAAAAAAGAACAGAGATGAGCAAGAAAGACAGAGAGAGATAGAGAAGAGAGATGAGTGAGAGAGATAAAGAAAAAAGATGAGTAAGAGAGATAGAGAAGAGAGATGGATGAAAGAGAGAAAAGAGAGATGAGTGAGAGACACAGAGAGAAAGAGACAAAAAAAGAGAGAGACCCATTTCATTTTTGACTTTTTTCTTTTTAAACAACAAAGGGCACAGAGAAAGTGATGAGTGTGATTGAGAGAAATGAACGATTGAGAGAGAAGAGATATGAGTGAGAGAGAGAGAGAGACACAAAGAGAAAGACAGACAGAGAGAGAAAAAAAAAAGAGAAACAAGATGAGCGAGAGATAGACAAAGAGAGAGAGAGAGAGAGACAGCAAAAAGAGATAAACAAGAGATACAGAGAGAGGGAGAGAGAAAAAAGATGAGTACGAGAGATAAGAGAACCAGAGAGAAGGGTGATGAGTGAAAGAGAGAGACATAGAGAGAGAGAGAGAAAGAGAAAAAAAAGAGAGAGAAACAAGATAAGCGAGAGAGAGAGAGAGCGAGAGAGCGAGAGAGCAAAAAAAGATGAACAAGAGGTATAGAGAGAGACATAGAAAGAGAGAGAGAAAGGGAAGAAAGATGAGCAAGAGAGATAGAGAGCAGAGAGAGATGAGAGAGCCAAAGCGAAGAGTGATGAGTGAGAGTTTTGACAAGTGATCAAGAGAAATGAGAGATGAGCGATTGAAAGAAAAGAGAGAGAAAAAGAGGAAAAAAAAGAGAGATCGATAAATCAAGAAAGAGATCAGTAAATCGAGAAGATGTGAGGGAGAGAGTGAGTAACGCGAGCACAGTGTGGGAGGGGGAGAGAGAGAGAGAGAGAAAGACATAGACAGAAAGACAAAGAGTGATAAGTGAGAGAGAGAAAGAGAAAGAGAAGAGAGATGAGTGAAAGAGAGAGATATAGAGAAAGAAAGAGATAGAGAGAGATAGAGAGATAGGAAAATGAAAAAATGGGTGAAACAATACAAAAATTTTAGTTTTTTGTGACGGCATTTTAATACTTCTAATGCAGTCTCATCAAAACAGTCTTTTTTTTTTTTTTTTTTGGCGACGGCACCTATTACCGTCGCAAAAAACTCTCTTATTCTCATCAAAACAGTTTTTTTGTTTTTTTTTTTTTTTTTTTTTTTTTGCGATGGCACCTATTAGCGTCTCAAAAAACTCTCTTATTTGCGACTGTAGTTCATGTCGTCGCAAAAAACAACTTTATTTGTGACAGCATAGGTTACCGTCGCAAAAAATGCGCATTATTTACTACGGTAGTTGTTACCATCGCAAAAAAGTTGTTTTTTTGTAACAGGAAAGGGTGTCGTCACTAAAAACCCATTTATTGGCGATGGCAAGTGGTGCCGTCGCAAAAAATCACTTTTTGTGACGGTAAGTGATGCCGTTGCAAATGCTTCCGTGTTGTAAAGCCCCTTTTCTTGTAGTATTGGAAGAAATGGAAGTAATGTTTACCAAGCAGAGTACGCCTACGTGACCTTACCCAAAGGCATCAATTGGATTTTGTTTTATTTATTTTTTTAATTAAAATCCTCAACAATTTTTTTTTAACAAAAAAATGTGAATTGTGGGATGTTTGTTTTCTGCTTACTTGGTAAGTTTTGAGTAATGTATATTCACATTTTCACTCATGAATGAGCTTCATATGAATGTGCGGGGTTTTTTTTTTTTTTTTAATTTTTTTTTATCAAATAGTACGAAATGTGGACAAAAATTCTAGGAAAAATGATGCAAATAGTCTCTGTATTTTACACGATGTGTCAATTTCGTCCTTATAGTTTCAATTTGCTCGATTTTGCTCCTTAATTTAACGGATTGTGTCATTTTAGCCCAATAAATAACGGTTGTTAAGTTAATTTAACGGAAAGTCAAACAATGTGTCAATTTGGTCCCTGTATTTTTCACAATGTGTCAATTTAGTCCCTGTCAAAATCAAGAAAATGGAAACTATATGGACCAAATTGATACATTGTGTAAAGTATAGAGACCAAATTGACACATTATTTGACCTTCCGTGAAATTAATTTAATAACTGTTATTTATTGAACTAAAATGACACAATCCGTTAAATTAAGAGGCAAAATTAAGCAAATTGAAACTACATGGACCAAATTGACACATCGTGTAAAATACATGGACTATTTGCATAATTTATCCAAAATTCTATAAAATTCTACTATCAATTATGCCATTGCTATTAACACGTGTTTTTTTACAAAAACCACGTGATTTCCTAATATATTTTCCTGGTAATTATTGGATAATTTATAGTATTATATGATATTATTTACATGATATTTTCAATCAATAGCGTAGTAAAAAATTTATGTGTAGAGTAATATTGACCCACCTTATCAGCTTAGTTAAATGAAAATGAATGGACCAACTTAGTGTGTTATGGTATTTCAATTGCCAAGAATACCACGCAGCCAAAAATTTCAACTGTGTACACAAATTAAAACTCTTAAAAGAGATTTTTTAAGAGAAAATTGGTGATAAATTCATTAGATTCAGGAAATATTTTTTGTTGGTACAAAATTCAGGCTTTGTGAAATAATTTGGTGAGAAGTTCTAGAAGACATTTTGTTTTTAATTTTATCCCTTGACTTTTTTTTATCTGTTTGACTTTTTGTTGACTATCTGTTCAAATTTATCTATTCAATTTTTTTGACCATCTATTCAATTTTTTCCTAAATTCTATTTATCTGTTCAATTTTTCCCTATCTGTTCAATTTTTCTCCTAATTTTTTTTCTCTAAATTCTGTTTATCTATTCAATTTTATATGTATATGTTCAATTTTTTCACCTAAATTCTATCTATCTGTTCAATTCCCCCATAAATTCTATCTATTTGTTTAATTTTTTCTATCTATTGAAAACTTGTGTCAACCTTTTTGTTTATTTATTGCAATAATCATCATCAACATCAATTTTTTTCCATATCTGTTTCATACATTTACACACTCACAGATATACATACACACGCTCACAGATATATATGCGCTCAAGATATACATAGATACACACATTCACAGATACACATACATATATATGTTTAAACTCTATCTGTTAATATTTTTTTTTTTTTTTCAATTTGTTTCATCATCAACAACAACAATAATAATAAAAATATATTGAACAGATA